ACACACACACACACACACACACACACACACACACCACACACACACACACCACACACATCACACACACACACACACACCCCACACACACCACACACACACACACCCTCACCGCCTTCCCCTGACTTACCAGGGCACGGTCAGCAGAGCCAGCGCCAGCAGTTGTCCTTAGGGGTTTTCAACTTGGAGCCTGGAAGTGAAAGGGACAAACACATTCTTACACAGCGACCAACCTCCTGCACATCAGGGAAACTGACACCTGGGGTCGAGCTTTAGTTCCCAGTGAACTGCATAGTCCGCAGACCTCAGCACCAGCAGGCCCCCGCCTATTCGGGGCCTTTCTGAGCGGTTACTTCCCACTCCTGATAAGAAGACCCCAAGGCAGACTCACAAACGGACACGCCCCAGGAAGGGCCTGCAGGCCCGCAGGACCAGCCCAAGTGGCCGCCTTCCGTGGGCCATGCCAGGCGGAACACAGCCCCCAGGCCTCCGGCTCTGCACTTCCCAGCACAGCAGCTACGCGCGACCTCGTTTGCACTCTCCTCCCGCCCAAACCCACTAACCCCTGCACACCGGGCTCCTCTCCAGGCCGGGCAGCTCCCGCCAGCACAGCCTCGCCTGTGATCAACAAAGGAAAACCCTAGGCCTACGGGCCAATTTTAGTCCTTGTTTGTCTGCTTTAAAGTGTGGTAAAACACATAAAATTCACCATTTAACCATTTCTAAGTGTACAGTTCAGTGTCATTCAGCACATTCACATTGTTGTGCAGCCATCACCACCATCATTTCCAGAACTTTCCATCTTCCCCAACTGAAACTCTGCTCTGGGCAAACACTAGCTAACCCCCCCCTCCCCAGCCCTTGGCACCACCATCTACTTTCTGTGACTATGAATATGACAACTCTAGGGACCTCCTGTGAGTGGGATCACACGGGATTTGCCCTTTCGTGACAGGCATATTTCACTGGCAGCGTCCTCCAGGTCCATCCATGTTGTAGCAGGTGTCAGATGTCATTCTTTTTTTAAGGCTGAATAATGTTCTACATTTTCTTCTATAAATCTCAGAGTTCTAGCTTTCACATGTAGGTCTGTGATCTATTTTGAGTTAATATTTTACAATGGGATGAAGTAAGGCAAAGGTGCATTGTTTTTTGTTTGTTTTGTAGTTGATATGTTGTTTTTTAATAAAAGCAATTATCATAAGTATCTACTTGCTATAAGTCACGTAAATCAAATTATTAAACATAAACTAGCACTTTAAAGTTTTAACTACAATAATTAAGAACTCAGAGTCACTTGTTATACAGTATGTGTTATGTATAACACATAACTTGTTATACAGTTGCCTTGCTTTCATGAAAACAAAACTCTTTCTGCTAATGTTGACACTTAACTCGATCCAGTATTTTATTTTCTTAAAAACTCATGATTTTCTAGTCTTTGTTGGGCCATTTTAAATACATTTTCATTTGAGATGTGATAGTCTCCACTAGTGACCAACATTATCCAGGTAAAATACATCTTGAAAGCTATAAAATTTTCAGAAAGATGTCTGGCCTAAACGTATCTTTGCTGCAAACATAATTCCAGTTCAGCAGGATTCACACTGGACAGCGAAAATAAGTTCAAGTCTCCACTTTCTCACCTCATAAAGAAGGAAATCTGCCATTTACAACGACATGGGTGGACCTAGAGAAGATTATGCTACGTGAAATAAGTCAGACGGATGAAGACAAATGCCGTATGACCTCACTTATATGTGGAATCTAAAGAACAGAATAAATGAGCAAACTAATCAGAAAGGTGCAGTGTTGTGTATACAAGTGTTCAATGGTCCTGGCACCATTTGTTGAAAATACTATCACTTCCTCATTGAATTACGTTGCCACTTCTGTTGGAAATCGACTGACTATTAAGTGTGTGGGTTTGTTTCTAGAATCTATTTCACCCAGTTATCTTCACATATACCTTTTGCCAGTTTCACAATGCCTAGATTATTGTAGCAATAGAGAAAGTCTTAAAACCAGGTCATCATCTGTTTGTCTCTTCAAAATTATTCTGGCTACTTTAGGTCCTTGGAGTTCCATGTAAATTTTTGAATAAGCTTGTAAATTTCTACCAAAAAACCTTGCCAGGATTTTTATTGTGATTGCACGGAACCTACATACCAGTTTTGTAGAACTGACACACTAGTCGCATTGGGTCTTCTGGTTCAGTAACTTAGGCTAGCTCCCCACTTAGTTAGGTTTTCTTTAATTTCTCTTGGCATATTTTTTTTGTTCTATTTCTCCCTAAGAATTTCACATTTTTGAAAGTATTATAAATGGTGTTTTATTATAGCTTTTTTTTTTTTTTTTTTTTTTTGGTTGAAAATATCTTGTCTGTTGTGTTTTTTTTTTTTTTTTTTAGCTGAGCCATCCTGCCACCTTTAGGCAACTCAGCGGCTGCTCAGCTCGGGCGGGACTCAAACCGCTGTTGCTCAGAGCTCCCACTCTTGAGCGAGCTCTTAACCAACTGAGCCACTTGGCCAGCCCTTATTACAGCTTTTAATTGTTCAGTGTTAGTATACAGAAATAAAATTAATTTTGTTACACTGATCTGTATCCTGTAAACTCACTAAACTCACCTGTTAGTTCTAGTATCTTTTTTTGTAAATTTCTTAGATTTGCCACGTAGACTATCATGCCACCAGTAAATAAAGACAATTTCACTTCTCTTTTCCATTCTGTATGTCTTTTATTTCTTTTCCTTGTCTTATTTTTCTAGTATAATACTGAATAAAAGTGGTGAGAGCAGACATCCTTGTCGTGCTCCTATCTTAGAAGGAAAGCTTTCAGTCTTTCATCATCAAGTATGATATTAGCTACAAGTTTTTCATAGGGCCCTTTATTAGATCGAGGAAGTTTGCTTTTATTCTAGTTTGCTGAGATTTTATTCTTTTTACCATGAATGAGTATTGTTTGTCAAATGATTTTTCCTCACCCACGATTCAGTCATATGGTTTTTCTTTTTTTTGTCTGTTAATAAGTAAACTATAATGATTGATTTTGAATGGTAAACTAACCTTGCATTCCTGGAATAAATCCCACTTGGTTATGATGCAGTATACTTTTTACACACTGCTGGATTTGATTTGCTGAAATTTTCTAATTCATGAAGAGCTGTTCATGGGGGATATTGGTCCATAGACTATGTCTGGTTTTGGTATCAGGGACACGCTGGCCTCATAAAATGAGAAGTGTTCCCTCCTCTTCTCATTCCTGGAGGACTTTGTGTAGAATTAATATTGTTCCTTCCTGAAATGTTTGATAGAATTCATCAATGAAGTCACCTGGGCCAAGAGTGTTCTTTGTTGGAAGGTTTTCATACACAAACATTTTTTTTAAAGATTTTATTGAGGAGTTGGGGGAGAGGGCTGCCCTTTTGTTCTTCAGTCTCGTTGTGGAGGACGTCGCTTCACTGGCCCATGTTGGTATTGTCATTGCACTCTTTCCGGGTGAGGCAGTCGCTCGCCGGCCACTCAACTGCTGCTCACAGCGGCTCTCAGCAACTCATGAAAGCTCACACCCGCTGCTGGCCAGTCCCATTGCAGCCTATGCCGTTGCCAGGACTCACAGCAGCCCAACTTCGGGTCGAGCTGTTGTTCACCATCTTAGCTGTAGAGGGCGCAGCATCACTGGCCCTAATGTAGGATCCAAACCCTGGCCCTGCTGCTCAGAGCTCGCACTCCCAAGCCAACTCTTAATCAACGCGCCACTCAACTGGCCTACAAACTCATTTTTTATAGATACAGAGTTATTCAGGTTATTTATTTTGATTTTTAAAAGTTTTAGTGATTTGTATTTTTTTAGGAATTGCTCCATTTCACCTATATTGTAAAATTTCCTGGCACAAAGTTTTTCATAATATTCCCTTACCATTATTTTCACATATGTAGACTATGCAGTGACCTCTCTTATTTCTGATTTTGGTAGTTTTTCTTCTATCTTTTTTTCTAATCAGTCTAACTAGGGGTTTATCAATTTTAATGATCTTTTCAAAGAACCAACTTTTGGTTTCATTGATTTTTTTTCCTGTTTGTTTTCCATTTCATTGATTTCTGCTATTTTTTTCTTTCCTTTGTTTACTTTTTCTTAAGGTTGAAGCTTACATCATTGATTGAAGAACAGTTTTATATTATAATATAATCCTTAATGCTATGAATTTCTCTCTAAGCACTGTTTTACCTGCATTCCATAAATTCTGATATGTATGTTTCAACTTCCACTTAGTTCAAAATGCCCAATTTCCCTGTGATTTCCTCTGACCCACGGGCTATTTAAAAGTGTGTTTATTGGGCTGGCTGAGTGGTGTGTTGGTTAAGAGTTGGCGTAGGATGCCAGCTCTGAGCTGCAGGGCCTGGTTTGGATCCCACATGAGGCCCAGTGACACTGCACCCTCTACAGCTAAGATGGTGAACAACAGCTTGACCTGGAGCTGGGCTGCCGTGAGTTGCTGGCGATGGCGTAGGCTGCAGTCTCTGCTGCAGTGGGTGGCCATGAGCTACTGTGAGTGGCTGGCAGCCAGCGTGAGCTGCTGCGCAATGGCAGGTGAGCAACTGCCTCAGCCGGGAAGAGCGCAATGATAATACCAACACGGGACAGTAAAGCGACGTCCTCCACAACTAGACGGAAGAACAAAAGGACAGCAACTTGTCTGTTCCCCTTCCCCGATTCCCCAACGCTGTTCCCCTCTCCCAACTCCCCAATAAAATCTTTTAAAAAAAAAAATATAAATAAAAGTGTGTTTATTTAGTTTCCAAATATGTGGGGATTTTTCCAGCTATCTTTCAATTACTGATCTCTAGTTTAATTCTCTGTTGGTTAGAGAATATGCTTTGTACGTTTTCAGTCCTCTTTCATTTACTGAGATTTGTTTTGTGGCCCAGAATAGAGCCTGGTCTATCCTGGTGAACAATCCACGTGCACTTGCAAAGGATGTGTATTCTGCTGTTGCTAGACGTAGTGTTCTGTAAACATCAATTAGGTCAAAGTGGTTGATGGTATTGTTCAAGTCTTCTATATCTTACTGATTTGCTGGGTACTTGTTCTGTCAATTATTGAAAGAGGAGTGTTGAAATTTCCAACTATAATTGTGGATGTCTATTTCTCCTTTCAGTTCTATCAGTTTTTGCTACATGTATTTTGTAACTGTTATTAAGTGCATATTTAATATGTTATGTTCTCTTACTGAACTGACCTCTATATAATCACTACAAAATGTCATTCTTATTCCTGGAAATATTCCTTGTCCTGAAATCTGACTCATCTGATAGCAACATACTCACTTTGGATATGTTGATTCATGTTTGCATGGTGTATCTTTTTCCATCCTTTTACTCTGAACCTTTCTGTACCCTTACATTGAATATAGATAGCACTTTTATGTAACCTTTTAATCTGATCTGACACTCTGACAAAATGCCTTTTGTTTGGAGTCTTCAGGCCACACACATT